AATGTTTTCGTCGCTATTATAGCGCTTTGTAAGGGCAGAGAAAATCAGAACGGGCAATTTTGCTCTTCGTATGATAACACAGACAAGTGACTGCGGATAAGGATGCTTTTTTTCTCCTCCTCCTTTGATTGTTCAGTCTCTGACCAGTGAATGGCCGAAACGTGTCTCAGTGGGGTCTGAGAAAATGAGGATAGAATTCTTGACGACAAAAACGGATACTCCAAGCGGAAAAGTCGGTAGAGGGGGTAACTACCGCAAAACTGAACGAGAAGTAACCAGAGTATAGTTCAGTCACAACGCCAAGACAGAAGGGGAGCAACTGAACTCTGTATAGCCGCTTATGTACAAAGGGGGCTCGGCAACGGTCTACCGAACTCTCTCAACGTCAACGAGCTTCACTGATGTCGTTCCTCCTTATCTATGGCTTCAGGAAAGAAAAGGGGACAACAACGGACGGAAACGTGGGTCAGAAACATCACAGTAACACACTGCAAGTGCGGAAACGCAAACCCTATCATGAAGGCGTGTAAAGCAGAAAGAAAGATTAGGAGCACGAGGGAATAAGAACGGCGAGAGGGCAGGGGGTTTGACGGAAGAGAGGCGATTGGAGGGCTCGCCAACAAAGCAGGACAGCGCCAGTGGGAAAAACTGCGCCAGCTAGGGAGCCGCGAATGGTGGTGAAGGGAATTTGGCCTTCCAGTCACTCGGGTGGGTCGCATGCGTGGCAACATGGCGGCACGAGGTTGCATTGCGCTTCGCGGGCAGATGCATGCGAAAAGAATGCTGCGGCTCCTAGCCCCTGGGAGTTGCCACACTTGAGATGAGATGTTTTGCACAGAGACCACCCCAAGGGGCACCAGTTTCAGCAGGCTTCCCGCACTGTGCATGAAACCAGTTTTAACACTCTCACTTCGTAAGCACTTAGTGAACGTGTCCAATTTCAAGCCTCGGTCCCCACACAATACAGTACTACGGCATGGAGTTTTTATCAAGTTGCCCCAGAACGGGTGTGGTTGATGTTGACGCCGAAATTTGCTTGCCAACTGAAAACAGGTAGGATCCAAGTCAGCATCGCCGCTTTTGGGCCCGCTTTACAGGCGATCTTCGTGAGCGATGATGTTCGTGTGACTGAATCCACGTGAAGACTTCGCAAGCGTGTGATCAGTCTCCGCCATCTCAACACGGCGAGATTTCCTCCACAGATCTTGCCGACCAAAAAGTCGTACCCAATGAAGTGGACAAGTGACACGCATCAATTTGTTCGAGCGTGCGACAAAATAGTCAGGCAGACTCGTACCTGGTTCACATCGATGAAAAACAATACATGGACAGGCGAGTTACAATAACACTATATGTACAACGCATACTACTTGGGATACCAACATACCACTTACCACCCTGTTCTCCTTCCAGGTTGCATTTTTTTCAACTGGTCTTGTAATATAGACACCTCTTTCTTTAGTGCTGTTGCACTCCTTGCCTCTGCCCGGACCCTACTTAACTCCTGCTCCAATGATGTGACTTTCTTGTTAGATGCTTGAAGCTCCTTGCGCACAGTTTCCACGTCCACCTTCCCTTGCCTCTCTGTGATGGATATAGACTGGCACAATAAAAGGGTAAAGGGGAGGATGGAGAGCGAAGGGTTGACAGCATGCACTGAGGGTGAGTGAGAAGAGGCGGGTCGTGTATTGTACAACAAGCTGAAGGTGAGGTGTTTGGCGGCGAACGGAAAGCAATCAGGGGTAACGTTTCAAAGCCTCACACTCTCACCTTTTCCAGCATGTCAATCCGCCGTGCCATCACCTGCCCCTCCTGCCGCATCTCCACCACCAGCTGGCACGCCGCCCGCAGATGCCCCTCCACCCGCTCTCTACAGTGCTTTGCCACGTCCTTTTGCAGCAGAGGCAGTGTGCATCCCATAGGGGCGTACGGGCAGGAAACAGATTTCATCCCACAGTCCGTCGTGCAGTGTCTCTCCATTCCGGCCCGCGCTATCGTCAGTCTACACCCCTGCCGACACGGAAGCATCTTAAGGGGGCACTTCTTATCGTGTACGCCCATTCTGTACCGCGACACCCGCTCCCAGCAGGGCGCGTTCGCACACGGGACCTCCTCAAACGGGCACCGCTCCCGGTGCGAATTCAACCCCGCAACAGTGCCGAATTGCGCCGTGCAGTGCGCAGTACCCGCGGAATCAACACGGCGAATCAGCGACTGTGCAAGGTTGATCCTTAAGGCCTTGTCAAGCAAGTCAGATTCCTCCAGTTGCTGAGCCAGCGACGCCACCTTGTCTTCTGTGTGTTCCACGCGCCTGAAGGCGGATGAAAAGCGAGCCAGCAGGGTCTGGCGTTGAGCCACAAACTCGTCTAGAAGAGCCTGAATGGCGGTAACCACAGGAGTGTTACACGGCTGCTTCTCCTCTCCATTCAGTTTCTCCAGCTGTACTCCTGACACTGGGGCTTCTGTCCTTGCACTACTAGCTGCACCCTCTGCTCCTCCCTCCCCTACCTCTCCCCCTCCTCTTGCTCCTCCACCCATCCCCTTTTCCCCCTCGTTGTCCCCTCCCCCATGCCCATGCCAGATGCAAGCCCATGACTGTGTAGCATCAGCAGCAGCAGCAGCAGCAGCAGGAGGGGTTACAGCAGGGGCGGTGAGGGCCTGCTGCTTGGTGCGGGAGTCTAGGAACGTGAGCATCTCGCCTTTGACCGCCTCTGCTGCTTCTAACGGGGATGGAGGGGAGGTGAAGAGCGATACGGAGCTCTCTAATTGGTCGATTGTGGCCGCTGCTATGGCAGGAAGCAACCTGGAAGCCACGGCTCGGACCTGAGAGATACACAGGAGGAAGGACCGAGAAGCAATAAGGGGTTACATCAGCACGAGTACTGGCATGTGGAGAGGAGCAAACAAGACTGAGACCGAGAAGCATGGCACAACCAGAGGTGCAAACGAGAATCTGAAAGTAGCTATCTTGCCAGGTGCCTCCAATACAGTAGTGTGGGGAGGGAGAGGAGGATGGCATGGATTGATTTGGCTGACTGACCACCAGTGCATTTGAAAAAACACTCTACACATGCTTCATATTGTGGCGATCGCTTTTTTGTAGACAATCACGCAACATGCTTATATGCATTGCACATCAGACCGATTCTTACCTGCTCCACGTCAGAATTGGGGCACTGAACGCTCCCCAGAGGGTCTGTAGCTGCCGTTACCCCGGTCCAATAGACTAGTCCAGACGCTGCCGCTGCTGCTCCCTCCCTTGACCCCAACTGGACCTCCGCTCCCCCTGACTCCCCCCCAGCCTCCCCTAACCCCGCTTCCGCCTCCGCCTCTCCCTCCAAAACCCCGTTTCCTTCTTCCCTCCGCACGGCTCTCCCCTTTTCTCCTTCCTCCGCATACGCGGAAGCGCGCCTTTCTCCTCCTCCGTTTCCCCCTGTCGTCCCCGCTAGCGCCTCGAGCTCCAGTTCCTGCTGCGCCGGTGACTGTACGGAGGGGGAGCGCGGAGGTGACAGATCCGGGGGTGACAACGGCGAGGGGAGCTCTTCCGCGAATGGCGACGATGGAAAGAGGGAAAACGCGGCAGCTAATATCGAGGGGGAAGAGCTGACGGCCGATAAGGTTGGCTGCGGTGATGCTCCTGCTGCTGCTGCTGATGATGATGATGATGATGATGATGATGACGCTAGTGCTGATGCTGACGTGGCTGAATGTAAAGCTCTTGCGTGTGGTGACGTCGAATAAGCTGGCTCCGAGGACCCAGCAACGCCTTTAGTCACAACGATACTGTCACAATCTGGTCCAGTCACACCAGGAGACCTCAAGTGATCGCGCTTCAACGGATCAGTCGCTCCTGAACCGCTCCCTTCAGGAATTCCTGTCATTTCTTCGGTTACAGTCCCCTCCGCTAACGGAACATCGTGGTATTCCTCCGCGTGCTCGTCCGTTGTTCCCGTTGTCCTACAATCTGGACTCTCCGTTGCGGCGACATCAGATGTTCCCGGTCTACAGTCTCGAGATTCTCGAAAATCCGTCGTGGGAATACCATCAATGCAAGCGACATGATCGGAATATTCGAGATTAACAGCGGAGCCGCCTTCGCGACTGAAATCTGTTAATGCCGCGCTCGGCGCGGCTTCCGGAGTCATATGGGTGGCGACGTACTAGCAGGTGCCACGGAGAGTAACTACAACGAAGAAATGACACGGTTGAAACCGGTCAAGCGACACCGCGAGTTAGGGGTAATGAAACGGGAGGGATTCACCAGCCTGACTGACGGTTGGCAAGTGCCTGCTTGAATGCTTGAAGCGGGATTCACGGTGGCAAGGTTATCACGTTCAGGGACAGTTCACTTGTTGAAAAAGCTCGAGCCTCACTGCTTCGCTACAGACATATCCGCCTTGCCAGTCATCGTGTCCAGAAAAAAACCTTGAAAGCTGGGAGAAACACAATCTGCACTTTTTGAGAGCATATATGGTGCAAATGAGCGAAGGTTATTCGCTCCCCTGAATGAGAAAGTCGCGGAAAATAATAGCGCGTACAGAAAACTTCCATGTCCCAGTATGCCCCATCTGCGAAAATGAAAAAAGCAACCAGCTCCCACACTCGGACAACAATTCGATCACCGCAAAATGCGGCCATTCATGCCTTGTTCCCGCCTCTCCACGGTTTCCCCTCCCCTCGTATCTTTCCCCGCATCTCCCGTAATTCTCACTGCGCAATTTGCTCCTCAGTCCTTCCGCCACCTTCTTCCGCCAACGCTGTCCAGGCCAATCCGCGTCCTGAATCCCCGCCCATCCGCGCAAGTGCGAAACCGCGCAATTTTCCGTCTTCCAGCTGCGCGCAGCGGCGCGCGGAGCGCATACAGCGCGGGAGAAGGAGGCGGCGGTGATGGAGGAGCGGAGGGGGAGTCCGGCTGCCCCGAATCCGAGGCGCGGCGGCTTGCGCTTGACGACGCGGCGAGGGCGGAGATGAGGGCGCGATCTGAGCTCGCGCTTGCGGCGATGGCGGAAGGCTCCCCCGGAGCGGCTGCCGCGGCGGGAGACGCTCCGGGAGTCGCGCCGGGAAACGCGGCGGGAGATACGGGAGGGAGTGGCGGGAGCGGTAACGGAGGCGCGTGGAAGTGGGCGGTGCGGAAGGGCGTGTGGGACGAGCTGGAGGCGCGTGACGTGGCGCGGCCGCCGCGCCCCGTGCACCACCGCATTCCTAACTTTGAAGGAGCGGACAAAGCTGCTGCCATGGTGAGGGGAAGGGGGCAGGCGGGGGAACGGGGGGCGGGGAGGGGGGAAGGACGTGGCGCGACCGCCCCGCCCCGTGCACCACCGGACAAAGCTGCTGCCATGGTGTGCTAAATGGGGGAGAAGGGGAGAAGGGGAGAAGGGGAGAAGGGGCAGAAGAGGGGATGAAGGGAGGGGCAGGGGCACTCAGAATACCCCCCCCCTCTTCCCCTCCCCCACCCCTACCCCAAAACCCCCAACCCCGGACCCCAACCCCATTCCAGCTGGCATCATTACCGGAGTTCCAGGCAGCAGGGTGCGTGAAGGTCAACCCCGACACTCATTGATTATCCTCGCGTCTCTCCCCCCCCCCCCCCACCCCAACCCCTACCCCAAACCCCCCAACCCCGGACCCCAACCCCCTGCCAGCTGGCATCGCTGCCGGAGTTCCAGGCAGCAGCGTGTGTGAAGGTCAACCCCGACACGCCTCAGAAGGCCTTGCGGCTTGCTGTGCTGCAAGGTGAGTTGTGCTGCAGACTTGTGTGAGTTGTGAGATGCCGTGCCGTGCAGTCATGCCGCCATGCACTTGTGTGCGGGGCATAATCAGCATGCTGTCACACACACGCTTATCTTAAAAGTGGTTGGCTCACGACAATATACTTACTCATGCCCCCTCTTTAGTGGTTGCCCCTCTTAAGTGCTTGTCCCATCCCACGCTGTTTCTCTTTCCCCCATCCTCCCTTTTCCCTTCCCTTCCCTGACTGACCTCCCCCTCTGCACCCCTTACCCAAGCCGACAAGCTCCTGCTCACCCCCCAACCTCGCCTCCGCACTGGCTGCCCACATACTGCCCGACCAGCTGCTCGCGCGGCCTTCCCCTTACCTCACCCCCCCTCCTCAACCCCTCCCCACAGCCAACAAGCTCCTGCTGACCCCCCAACCGCGCCTCCGCACCGGCTTCTTCTGGCGCCTCTCTGCTGCCCACATACCGCTAATCCCATCCCCCTTCCTTCCACTCTGCCTTCCCCCTTCCCTCCTCCCCCCCATCTCCCCACCCACAGCCAACAAGCTCCTGCTGACCCCCCAACCCCGCCTGCGCACCGGCTTCTTCTCTCGCCTCTCCGCCGCCCACATACCGCCTCTTCCCCCCCTTTCCCTCACCTCACCCCCCCAACCCCCCTCCCCCCTTCTCCCCACACACAGCCAACAAGCTCCTGCTCACCCCCCAACCGCGCCTGCGCACTGGTTTCTTCTCGCGCCTCTCTGCTGCCCACATACCGCCCGACCAGCTGCTCGACGCCTTCCCCTTACCTCAACCCCCCCCCTCCTCTACTCCCCCCCCCCCAGCCAGCAAGCTCCTGCTGACCCCACAGCCGCGCTTACGGACTGGCTTCTTCTCACGCCTCTCTGCTGCCCACGTACCGCCCGACCAGCTGCTTGCTGCCTGCACCGCGGCCGGCGTGGCTCGGCACGGAGTGCCGGTGGCGCTAGAAGACAAAGTTGCGGTGGATATGGTGGTGCTTGGGTCTGTTGCCGTTGACCCCACGACCGGTGCCAGGCTGGGGAAAGGAGAGGTGAGGGGCAGGGGCGAGTGAGAGATAATTTACCTCGTGTATTACAGCATATGTTGCCTGCACCATGCATTGCCCCATGCACTGCCTCATGCGAGTTGCCGTGGATATGGTGGTGCTTGGGTCTGTTGCCGGTGACCATGAGCCGCTCACTATGAGCCGGTGACCATGAGCCGCTCACTATGAGCCGGTGACCATGAGCCGCTCACTATGAGCTTGGGTCTGTTGCTGTTGACCACGATGCTATGCTCACGATGCTATGCTCACGATGCTCTGGTCACGATGCTCTGCTCACGATGCTCTGCTCACGATGCTATGCTCACGATGCTCTGCTCACGATGCTATGCTCACGATGCTATGCTCACGATGCTATGCTCACGATGCTATGCTCACGATGCTATGCTCACGATGCTATGCTCACGATGCTATGCTCACGATGCTCTGGTCACGATGCTATGGTCACGATGCTATGGTCACGATGCTATGGTCACGATGCTCTGCTCACGATGCTATGGTCACGATGCTATGGTCACGATGCTATAGTCACGCTGCTATGGTCACGATGCTATGCTCACGATGCTCTGCTCACGATGCTATGCTCACGATGCTATGCTCACGATGCTATGCTCACGATGCTATGCTCACGATGCTATGCTCACGATGCTATGCTCACGATGCTCTGCTCACGATGCTATGCTCACGATGCTCTGCTCACGATGCTATGCTCACGATGCTATGCTCACGATGCTATGGTCACGATGCTATGGTCACGATGCTATGGTCACGATGCTATGGTCACGATGCTATGGTCACGATGCTCTGGTCACGATGCTCTGGTCACGATGCTCTGGTCACGATGCTATGGTCACGATGCTATGGTCACGATGCTCTGGTCACGATGCTCTGGTCACGATGCTATGCTCACGAATCTATGGTCACGGTGCTATGGTCACGATGCTATGCTCACGATGCTATGCTCACGATGCTATGCTCACGATGCTATGCTCACGATGCTCTGCTCACGATGCTATGCTCACGATGCTATGCTCACGATGCTCTGGTCACGATGCTATGGTCACGATGCTATGGTCACGATGCTATGGTCACGATGCTATGGTCACGATGCTATGGTCACGATGCTATGGTCACGATGCTCTGCTAACGATGCTCTGCTCACGATGCTATGCTCACGATGCTATGCTCACGATGCTATGCTCACGATGCTATGCTCACGATGCTATGCTCACGATGCTATGCTCACGATGCTCTGCTCACGATGCTATGCTCACGATGCTCTGCTCACGATGCTATGCTCACGATGCTATGCTCACGATGCTATGCTCACGATGCTCTGCTCACGATGCTCTGCTCACGATGCTATGCTCACGATGCTATGCTCACGATGCTATGCTCACGATGCTATGCTCACGATGCTATGCTCACGATGCTATGCTCACGATGCTATGGTCACAATGCTATGGTCACGATGCTATGGTCACGATGCTATGGTCACGATGCTATGGTCACGATGCTCTGCTAACGATGCTCTGCTCACGATGCTATGCTCACGATGCTATGCTCACGATGCTATGCTCACGATGCTATGCTCACGATGCTATGCTCACGATGCTATGGTCACGAATCTATGGTCACGATGCTATGATCACGATGCTATGGTCACGATGCTCTGCTAACGATGCTCTGCTCACGATGCTATGCTCACGATGCTATGCTCACGATGCTATGCTCACGATGCTATGCTCACGATGCTATGGTCACGATGCTATGGTCACGATGCTATGGTCACGATGCTCTGCTCACCATGCTATGGTCACGATGCTATGGTCACGATGCTCTGGTCACGATGCTATGCTCATGATGCTATGGTCACGATGCTATGCTCACGATGCTACCCACCACCTGCACTTACCACACCACACCACACCACCTGCTCTTACCACACCACACCACACACCTGACCCACAGGGCTTTGCAGAGTTGGAGTACGGCATTCTGAGGTGGATGGGGGTGGTCACAGACGACACCACCTGCTCTTATCGCACTACTCATCGTGCTACTCCTTCCTCTAATACATATGCCTGGTGTTGTCTCCATGTGTCTACCCCCAATTCACAGGGCTTTGCAGAGTTGGAGTATGGCATTCTGAGGTGGATGGGGGCGGTCACAGACGACACTCCCGTGGTTACGACTGGTGAGCAGCCTTGACTCGACTTAGTGGTCACATTTTGTCAATGCATTGGTCACCTTGAGTCAAACCCAGAGCCCCACCATCAGTGCACCTGGTGGCAGCAGCAGGCGCCATCCCCACTAGCAAGCTCAGGCAGCATGATCTGCCGGTTGACATCATCTGTACGTCTCCACACATGATTCCCAACCCCACCCCACTTGAACCCTCCAGTGCATGACTGTCAGCTAGTGGCGGCTGGAGCCATCCCATCCCAAGCAGCAAGCTGAGGCAGCACGACCTGCCAGTTGACATCACCTGCCCTGCCTGTGCCTTGTGCCTTGTGTTGTGAATGCTATCATAATCTATTCTCCCGACCCATTCCCCCCATCTGTACCTCCTGTCCAACCCGTAACCGTAATCCCACCCATCAGTGCACGACTGTCAGCTAGTTGCAGCAGGCGCCATCCCAAGTAGCAAGCTGAGGCAGCACGACCTGCCAGTTGACATCATCTGCACGCCCACGCAGATCATCCGGGTCTCCAGCAGGATTCCTAAACCCTCAGGTGAGACACTTCAGGTGAGCTGCCGTTGGTAACACGTGCCCAGAACCGAGTCACGACCTGCCAGTTGACATCATCTGCACGCCCACTCAAATAATCCGCGTCTCCATCAAGATTCCCAAGCCATCAGGTGAGACGCGTTTGGTCTAGAGTTCGGATGTTCTCACAACCAGTTTTGAACAGCCTCTCAATTGCATCTGCGCCCACGCAGATCATCCGAGTCTCCAGCAAGATTCCCAAGCCCTCAGGTGAGCGGCCTTAATTCTAGATTTCAGACGTGCTTTTGATGCGCCTCAGAAGTTAGGTGAGCCGCCTTAGGTCTGTTGACATCATCCAGAGTTCAGACGTGCCCATAGCCAAGGCACGACTTGCCAGTCGACATCATCTGCACGCCCACGCAGATCATCCGAGTCTCCAGCAAGATTCCCAAACCCTCAGGTGAGAGGGCTCAGGTGATCAGGTTGGTATTCAGGTGAGACAATAGTGTGGTCAGGTAAATGTAACCTGAATCTCCCCATCCACCTCTATGATCCCCTCACTGCTTCTATGTATCATCAACATCTGTTTTGTTTAGGATTCTCAAACAACAGACTCCGCATAATATGTAACTTGAATTTCCCCATCCACCTCTATGATCCCCTCCTTGCCTCCAGGTATCGTCAACTGGCAGATTCGCAATCTGCAGCAGCACAAGGGCATCTATTCCCACCCATCCACAACCCCTTTCCACCTCTTTCCGCCCCTTTCCACCCCTCCAGGCATCTACTGGCATCTGCTCTCTCCTCAAAAGCTAGCTCAGATTCGCATTCTACAGCAACTCAATAGCACTCTTGAAGCCCAGTCAGGCGCCGCCCTCCCACTGGGACCAGACGAGGTGCAACTCTTTTCACCCCATTCCCATTCCCACCAATCCACAACCTCTTTTCACCAATTTCCATCCCTTCCCAACGCTGCTGTTCCCTCGTTGCCTCCAGGCATCTACTGGCATCTTCTCTCACCTCAGAAGCTAGCTCAGATCCGCATTCTACAGCAACTCAAGAGCACCCTGGAGGCACAGACAGGTGCCGCTCTCCGTCTGGGACCAGACGAGGTGCTTCCACCCGTTGCTGCCCGGCACGGGAAAGGGAGCCGGGGGAAGGAAGGGGGAAGGGAGGGGGGGGAGAGAGGAGGGGTGGGGAGGGGGAGAGGGAGAGGGGAGAGGAGGGGAGGGGAGGGGAGGCGGAGTGAGAGAAAGGTGTGGAGGAGGGGTGATGATAAAGGCAGTGGAGTGAGGGAGGGAGGAAGAGAGTGAGCAGCGAGCAATGCTCCAATCCCAATTTCCAAATGGTTCATGTTTCATTTTTGTGTTTGTTATTGGTATGACATCTATGTGCTTCTGTGTCTTCCCTGCTGAAGGTGTAAGAAATCCCAAGCTACGAATTACTTGGGTACAAGTTAGATTTTAGATTTCAAACTTTAGCCAATAATGAGTTGGCAACAAGTTGAACTTGTCCTCCCATTCACGCCCTAGTGTAGCTAGGCCAGCAATATCTATAAAGTAGGATTATGGACCCGGCTGATGACATTCCTCCAGATGCATCCTGCTTCCGTACACCAGCTAGGCCAGAGCTCCTTAACACCACCGCCACCAGCCAAGCCCCCGCGCCTCAACCGTAATGTAGTGTCAGAATGAGAACTACAGCGGAATGTGTTGCATTGACAGAATTGGGGTACATAACCTAACCCTAACTAGTTGTACCCCATATAGCCCAACCCACTACAGGCTATAATATTTGACACACCCCCATAGCCTAAGTGGGGAAGGCCAATCAACAACAGAAAACAACCTACGGCCACAAGGCCAGTCCAAAAGTGTGCAAACAAATATATATAAGGTACAAGCAAGCAACAGACAAAGAGCACCCTACAGCAGTCAACTAGACCCAGTCTCAACGAGGCCTAACTGCAGACAAAACCGGCGGTGGTCACAAGGCTGGAGGGCCTTGGTGAAGATGTCTGCAGTGTTGGCCTCGGAGGCCACAAAGTCCAGACGAGCCTGTCCGCGTCTCTGCAACTCTCGAAGGAGGAAGTACCTGACGTCAATGTGCTTCACTCTGCTCTCCAGTCGCGGCTCACGACACAGGAGAATCATCGCCTTGTTGTCAGCAAACAAGGTCGGTGCAGAGCTCGGCCGCTCGCCAAGGTCAGTGAGCAAGAAGGTCAACCAGCGCAGCTCCTGTGCAGCAAGGGCTCCAGCGTAGATCTCGGCCTCTGCGGTAGAAGTCGCAACAGAGGAGGACCGAGTAGACCTCCACGAAACAGCTCCAGAACCCAGACTGAAACAGTAACCCTGTGTAGACCTCTGAGTCTCAGCGTCGTCAGCGTACGAGGAGTCACAGTGACCGGTGAGAACAACTGGCTGAGTCCCTCCAAGTACAAGCCCCATGTCTGACGTCGTGGCCAGGTACTTCGCCACCCTCTTAGCCGCCGTCCAGTGAACAGGACGGTGTCTCCCAGTCGCAACAAAGCGAGAAAGGATGCTAAGAGGGAAGGCGAGGTCCGGGCGAGTGCACGTCATCAGGTACATGAGGCAGCCCACCAGCTCTGCGTAGGGACCACTGGGCTCGAACGGCTCGTCAGGAAAAGGCCCAGTGAGTCTGTGGTCTACAGCAAGAGGAGTGGGTGTGGGAGAGGAGTGCTGAAGCCCGAACCGCTGAAGGACCTGCTGCACCATGTGTGACTGAGTCAGAGTGATGGTGCGAGCGGCTCTGTCCCTGGAGATCTGCAAGCCAAGGTAGCGGCGCAGTTCCCCAAGGTCAGTGCAGGTGTGTCTCTTCTGCAGTTCGGACTTCACCTCCGCCAGTGCAACAGTGTCGGCTGTGGCGAAGACCAAGTCGTCAACGTAGACCAGAACAAAGAAAGGTGTGCGCCCACGACGAACAAACAGCGACGGGTCGGCAGAAGACGGCTGGAAACCAAGGTCGGAAAGAGTAGAACGAAGAGTGTCGTGCCACTCGCGGGGTGCCTGGCGGAGACCGTAGACCGGTCGTCTGAGGCTCCACTGGGTCCCAGGCGGGAAGGTGCCAGTGAAGCCCGGAGGACGACGCAGCCAGATCTCCTCGTGTAGGCGGCCCTGCAGGAACGCTGTGGAGAAGTCGAGGGAGTGTAGCTCGTAGTCTCTCTGCGCCGCTACGTGAAGCAACACCCGAAGAGTGGTCATCTTCGGGGTGGGCGCAAAGGTCTGAAAGAAGTCAACCCCCTCGCGCTGACTAAACCCTCTAGCCACGTAACGTGCCTTGAAGACTGGGGGAGATCCCGGCGGCCGCTTCACCTTGAAGATCCACATGCCGTCGACTATGTTCGCCCCTGGTGGGGGAACGTCGTCAACGTAAGTGCCTGTGGACCTGTAGGAGGCCATCTCTGCGTCCATGGCAGCTCGCCACTGAGAGGCCCAAGGCCCTGACACTGCCTCAGCGTAAGTGCGAGGAGTAGGTATGTCAGGAGCGTCGGGGTCACCCTCAGGAGCAAGGAGCATGGCACAGAGATGAGGCGAAGCGGCTGCTAGGAACTCTAGCTCAAACTGTCTGTCCTCTAGGACGTCACAGCCAAGGGCAGACACACCCCCGGCGGACAGAGGACGGACAGGAGGAGCTGCCACAACACGAGTGGCGTAGTCAAGGCGACGCGTGGCAGTAAAGTCAGTGACAGCGGCAGTGAGGACTGCGACAGAGGAAGGAGAGGCACGAGGGTCTGTAACAAGAGAGGCGAGAACGCGAGAGAGAGTGGGACGGTAAGTGTGATAGTAGTCAGTGACAGGAGTGGACAGTGCTGCAGTGAGGGACGACTCAGGAGGACGAGGGAGAACAGACGGAGGAGAACGAGGAGGGCTAGGGTGAAACAAGGCGGCACGGAGGTCAGTGACGGGGGACGAGGGACGAGCACGAGGAGAACGAGGAGCCCAAGTGTGGGCAAGTGGAGAGGGAGAGGGGGGAGAGCGAGAACGAGGGAACACAGCCGGAGCGTCATGAGTTCGGAGGAGGAAACGTAGGACCGAACACAGGAGGAGAGGAGGGGAGACCAAGGGCCCGAAGGCCAGAAACAGGGGCCGGAGACTGCTCCGGCTGCTGCTGCTGCTGCTGCTGCTGCTGCTCCCGCTGCAACTCCAACCTCTCACGCTCCACCCGCTGCTGAACCTCCAACCTCTCGCGCTCCAAACGCTGCTGCTCCTCACGCGCAAGTCGAAGACGGGCCTGGTGTCGAGTTGGGTAGGAGTGAGGAGGAGGAGTGAGGTCAGGAGAGGAAGACGAAGAACCGGCTCCACCCTCGACAGCGCCCGGCTGAGCACCCCCAGAGCGAGTGCCCCCCGCTGCAGCACGACCAGCACCTGTGGAAGGCAAACCCGCACCCCCAGTCGTGGTGCGCCCAGTGGCACCAGCACCAGCCCCAGACTCTCCAGCTCCAGAAACACGACCAGCTCCAGCACCACCACCGACTCCAACACGCTCGGGACGTGCAGCTGCGGCAGGTGCACGCTCAGCTCCAACTCCAACACCCCCAGAACCGGCACCGCCAGAGCCCTCACCTCGAGCACCAACACCTTTAGAGTCCGCAGTGGCCAGGAGAGGAAGCGCCGACGGCTGCTGCGGAGGCTGTGAGGACGACTGTGGGGAAGGAGGAGAGACCTGGGGGGGTACCGAGGGAGGGGGGGTAGCCTGTGTCACACCTGACGGAGCGGGAACCGGGGAGGGGGGTACCGGAGGAGAGGGAGCGGGAGGAGGAGGAGCTGGGGCGAGGAAGAGGGGAAGGGGGGGAACCGGGAGTCCTCGACAGGGGTACCGGACGTAGTAGGGGACGGACTCGTCGAAACTGACGTCACGAGAGTCAAAGAACCGGTGAGAGGGAGGGTGGTAAAAGGTGAAGTCAGAGGAGGCCTCAGGGAAACCAAGGAAGACACAGGGGACGCCGCGAGGTGAGAGCTTGTCCTCAGAGGCGTCGCGGACAAGCGCCAAGCAGCCCCAGACACGAAACCTCGACGCAACACCAGGGGACCCTGTCCAAAGACTGGTCGGTGAAGCCCCTGGCCGAGAGACGCGAGGCCAGAGGTTCAGCTGGTGAGCGGTGTACCGAGCCGCGTAGGGCCACAGAAAATGGGGCGCGCGGGCGTGGATCATGGAGGTGCGGGCAATCTCCATGACCAGGCCTAGCCGGCGCTCAGCAACCCCATTCTGCTGTGGAGAGTCTGGAAGAGTCCAGGACTGGGTGATGCCCTGCTCAGCACAGAATCTGGCGAGAATGCCGGAGCGAAACTCACCCCCACGGTCGGAGTGGAGACAACTGACACGACGACGACGAGTACTCTCGGTGGCGAGCAGCCACCGGATCAGCGTAGAAGTCACGTCGGACTTCTTCGCCAAAGGGAACACGGTGGTGTACCGAGAGTAGTCGTCAACGACCACTAGAAAGAAGCTCTCTCGCTCAGGTCCAAGCCGGGAAGCGGGGCCCCAGACGTCTAAGTGGAGTGTCTCAAAGGGCTCGGAGGCTGGACGAAGGGAGGAGGAGTGAGGAGTGGCGCGCAGCCGACCCTGGACACAAGGACCGCACGGAGGAGCGGGGGACGGCGGGAGCGGCGGGAGGTCGCGGGGGAGGCCTAAGACAAGACGCTGACTGGACATAGCGCGGAGACGAGAGAGGGACGGGTGACCAAGGCGGTGGTGCCAGAGGAGGACAGGGTGGGACAGCGACCGACACGAGCACGACGCAGCCACTAGACCTGGCACAGCTACCTGACTGGACCTGGCTACCTGGTGGGACGGGGGAACCGGACGGGTGTCGGTGTGGAGGGTGTACAGACCAGAGCCCGGCTCCTGACGAAAAGTGGCCAGAGGGGCGTACGTGTCACCGTCCACACAGACTGCAGTGTCACCAGAAGGCTCAAACCAGACCCCGACGTGCTGTCTCGCCAGAGGAGCCACACCAACCAGGTTCCTAGAGAAAGTAGGAACGTGGAGGCCGGTCAGAGAACCGGAAGGGGCAGCTGGGCACGGGAGGGTAGTGGCGTGAGTCGCAATGACCGGTCCCGAAGAGGGATCGGCCAGTGCTACAGAAACCGGCGCCGAGAGTGGAGTAAGAGTCGTGCTGTCGCGGAAGAAGCACTGCGTCGCTCCGGAGTCCAGTGTGAAGGAGAGCGACGCGTCCGCCGAGGGAGCACCTGTACTAGTAGCTAGACAGGATCCTACACCAGCACCTACTCTAGCAACAGGCAAAGATCCTACGCTAGGTACAGGCAAGTAAACAGATCCAGCAGCACTATAGTCAACATCAGCATACATCGCATAAGACCTAGCATCATCCATAGACATATCAAACACAGCAACACCACGAGCAAGGAGTGGTCCCCAGCGCGGTGGCGGGGGAGCGGAGGGGCCGTGGTGCAGGACGTTCAGGACGTCGAGACGGCTGAAGCAGCGTGCAGCAGAGTGGTCAGGGCGGCCGCAGTACGTGCCCCTGCGCGGACCCGTCAGGATCCAGTACTCACAGGGACCAACGTCGCGGCCGGCCGAGCGGGGTCCCCGACTAGAAGGGGCACCACTGCGCCCAGTGCTCGGGGGGCCCGTAGGCCTCCACTGCTGCGGGGGGCCCCACTGCTGCGAAGGGCCCCACTGCTGCTGAGTGCCCCACTGCTGCTGAGTGCCCCACTGCTGGGGCTGCTGCTGAGGCGGACGCTGCTGCTGGCCCTGGCGCTGCTGCTGCTGTCCCTGCCGCTGCTGCTGTCCAGGCGGTGGCAGCTGCGGAGGAGTCTGCTGCTGCTGCGGAAACCCCTCACCACCGTCTAGAGGAGAGCCGTCAGGTCCCGAGTCACCCCCGCCGCCACCCCCGCCACTAGTACTACCGCCACCGCCGCCACCCGCAACACCCCCAGAACCCCCGCCGCCCTTCCCTCCCTTCTTGCCGGACTTGCCACGTTTCTGTCCGCCAGAGACAGAAACGGCCGCCGTCTCCTCAGAGGCAGAAGACGCGGCAGTGGCAAGCGAGGCAGTGAAGGTGGGAAGCTGTGGTACCGCACACCCCTCAAAGAGACGAGGAGGAGGCGCGGAAGAGGCGGAGGCAACAGCGAGGAGGTTACTCTCGATCTTCGAGAGAGCGGTCTCAAGAAGATCGATAGTAAGCTCAGTGGGGTGCTTCAGGAGAAGCGCGTCGCGGGCTGTGGCTAGACGGTCAGGGAGGCGAGTGACTAACCAGTGAATAGTGAGCCACATGGGGGGGGGTGCAAGGGCAAGCTGTTCCTCAGTGCAAGCGGCCTTGAAGCGAGCTTCAAGGGAGCGCAGGTGGGTAGCGAGGTCAGCGACAGTCTCAAAGGAGGCGAGGTCAGGGTAGATAAAGGGGACGAGGAGGCGGCTGAGGGAGGCAGAGGAGGGAGTGGAGTAGCGAGCAACAATAGCAGTGTAAAGGTCTGCAGCAGACTCGACCTGAGTGAAGTGGACGGCCTCAGTCGGCGGGAGAAGGTCGGTCAGGGCGAGGCAGGCAGCAGCGTCACGAGACTCCCACACGTCACGAGCGAGGAACCGGCGCTGGTACTCAGCCTCCTGCTCGGAAGTAGGCGGTGGGGTAGTGGGCAGCGGTGTAGGCTGCGGCGGGGCGGGCAGAGCACCGGACGCGTGCGCAAACAGGTGCACGCCATCCTGGCGCTGGCTCCTAAGGTGGCGCTGGGCCTGCGTCAGCCAGGTACTAAAGTCGATCGCGCGCCCCTCAGGGTCGAAACGGAGCACGCGAGACGTCGCCATGAGGGGCGAGAACAAGCGATAGCGGCCGCCAGCCGCGAGAGGAGGAGGAGAGGGAGGTGAGTGCGAGGCGGGTGCGCGCAGGCGGGGCGCGTTCTGGCTGGGCGCGGGGCGGCGGGGCGCGCGCTGGCGGGGCGCGCGGGCGCGGCGCGCTGGTGGGCGGCTAGGCAGGGCGCGCACTGGCGGGCGCGGCGCGCTGGCGTGCGCGCTGGCGGGGCGCGCTGGCGCGGCGCGCTGGCGGGCGCGCTAGCGGGCGCGCTGGCGTGCGTGCTGGCGGGCGCGCTGGCGGGCGCGCTGGCGGGCGCGCTGGCGGGCGCGCTGGCAGGCGAGCTGGCGGGCTCGCTGGTGCGCCCGCTGGCGGGCGCGCTGGCGGGCTGGCGTGCAAGCGGGCTGACGCGCGGGCTGGCTGGCGCGCTGGCGCGCTGGCGCGCTGGCTGGCTGGCGGGCTAGCGCGCTGGCTGGCAGGCGCGCTGGCTGGCTGGCGCGCTGGCTGGCTGGCGCGCTGGCTGGCTGGCGCGCTGGCTGGCTGGCGCGCTGGCTGGCTGGCGCGCTGGCTGGCTGGCGCGCTGGCTGGCTGGCGTGCGCGCTGGCTAAGGGCGGGGAGGGGAGGGGCGCGCCGGCTGGGGCGTGGGGTAGGGCGCTGGCGGGCTGGCGGGGCGCAGTGGTAACCCTAGTGGTAGGGACGGGCGGGCCTAGGGCTAGGAGCGCTAACCTACTGCTGATACCATGTCAGAATGAGAACTACAGCGGAATGTGTTGCATTGACAGAATTGGGGTACATAACCTAACCCTAACTAGTTGTACCCCATATAGCCCAACCCACTACAGGCTATAATATTTGACATGTAGCCAGAGCTATGAAGTAACATTGCAGCGCCGAGTCCCAGACAAGATAATGGACCAGCTGATGGCACTCTTCAAGTTGCATCGCAGCGCCTTTTACACCACCACCACCACAGGCCACCGGCCAAGACCCTCGAGCTTGGACCCACTGATGCCACCAGAGGTTCTAGCCACCACCCACTAAGTCTGAGCACTTGAAGATGAGATGTAAAGGGCAAAGGGCAGAACGAAGTACGCAGGCTGTGAGATAGGAGGGGGCAGAACGCAGGACTTGTGGAGAGGCAAGGAGATGATGAGAATGGAGGGGGCAAAGGGCAGAACGCAGGTGGGAATGAATAAGTTACTGCTCACCTCACCAGGTCTCTATGCTGTTGGGAATGACCTCAAGGCCTCAAGGCATGTCACCAGGAACCGCACTGCACCCGTCTCAACCACTCTCATTGCCATGTCATCGCTGCTTCGCCAGCGGCTGCAGCGCGGCGAGCGACAGCAGAGCCTCCGCGTTCTGCGGGGGAAGAAACGCGGGCGAAATGCGGGCGAAACGCGTTCCGTTTCAAATCAACTGCCTCGTCAAAAGAGCCGCGAGGCATCACAGACCCTCAGGAGACCATCAGAGACCATCAGAGACCATCAGAGACCATCAGAGACCATCAGAGACCATCAGAGACCATCAGAGACCATCAGAGACCATCAGAGACCATCAGAGACCATCAGAGACCCTAAATTACTGGCTTCGCGAGAGTTGATGGCGTCCTACGGGATTCGATGCAGCATGCTCCCGTATCGGCGAGCTGGCGAATCGAAACATAAGTATACGAACGGCTCTTGGAGGCGGGAAATGCGACAGGAACCTCACCCAGTAGCACAGTGAATTCGAAGATCGAAGCTTGGATGCTGAGAGAGGCTGAGTTAAGACTGCAAAAGGGACTGAGACTAAGCACCGTGAGCCGCGGTGCGCCGTGCTCCGATGCCCCGCCGCGAAGAAGCCTCGCCACACGACCCCGCGATGCGAGCTCCCATCCCCGCTTCCCCTGCGCTAAGAGAAAGGAACACACAAAAAGAAGTTAGTTTCGCAATCAAATAAGAAACTTAACGAGATCCGACGGCACTTACCAGGCAAGGGACCACCTCCCGCGTTACCTCCTTTGCTCGCCGCGAGCTCCCACTCTCGGACCGCCGTTCCTGCACTAAGACGGAGCAGACAATCAAGAAGTCAGAACCAGAAAAAAACAAGGAAATTGAAGGAGAGAAATTGAAACTGATACTTACAAGGAGAGAAGAAGGCTGCAGCCGTTGTCCCTTGTCGTCGCCAGCGCCGTTTGCTCCACCTCACGCTTCTCCTGGCTGCACTAAGACGGAAGCACACGAAAAAGAGTTAGACTCTGGAAGAAAACGAAAGCAGGAAACGGGAAGTGATACTTACCACGAGAAAAGAAGTCCCTTGTCGCCGCCAGCGCCGTTTGTTCCACCTCACGCTCCTCCTGGCTGCACTAAGACGGAAACACAAAAAGAAGTTAGACTCTGGACGAAAACGAAAGCAGGAAACGGGAAGTGATACTTACCACGAGAAAAGAAGTCCCTTGTCGCCGCCAGCGCCGTTTGCTCCACCTCACGCTCCTCCTGGCTGCACTAAGACGGAAACACAAGAAAAGAAATTAGACTCTGGACGAAAACGAAAGCAGGAAACGGGAAGTGATACTTACCACGAGAAAAGAAGTCCCTTGTCGCCGCCAGCGCCGTTTGCTCCACCTCACGCTCCTCCTGGCTGCACTAAGACGGAAACACAAGGAAAGAAATTAGACTCTGGACGAAAACGAAAGCAGGAAACGGGAAGTGATACTTACCACGAGAATAGAAGTACCTTGTCGCCGCCAGCGCCGTTTGCTTCACCTCACCTGGCTGCACTAAGACGGAAGCACACGAAAAGAAGTTAGACTCTGGAAGAAAACAAAAGCAGGAAACGGGAAGTGATGCTTACCACGTTGATGTTGCTGCCAAGCGCAGAGAGAAGCGCCGTGTGTGTCCCGCCGTGAGACACGCCTCTCGCCCGCGAGACACGCCTCGTGAGGAACGCCTCTCGCCCGCGAAACACGTCGTGCGCCCACGAGGCCACGCGCGACCGAAGAAGCGTCGCCGTGCCTCGTCCCACGGTCTCCACGCATCGGCATCCGTCCTCGCCACCCGTGCGCTGGCTGACGGTCACCTTCTGCAAGTCGTTGAGAAGGAGAAGGAGAATCAGAACGAAACTGTCGAAAAAAAAAAATGAATCTGCTGAAATTGTCCTCACACGTTACCTCAGGCTTGCGCGAAGAGATCCGCGCGACGGTCGAAGTGACGCCAGCCGTCGCCGTCCGCCACTGACGGTAGAGTCCTCGTCGCCGACGGTAGAGCGACGGAAAAATCACCAAGCGACGGCAGGGAGAAGCGCCGCCAAGCGCCGTGAGTCCCGTCCAAAGGGCCGTCGCCATGCGGCATTCTTCTCCATTCGACGCCCTCACCATACGTGCGTGTCAGATTTTGCAGAAAAGCGAAGCAGCACGTTAGGATGTAGGCAAGTAAAAATAAAAGCGTGTTAAGAACGGATTGCCAAACGCACAATACCTCTCTCGAGCTGAGGTAGTGTGCGTTTGGCAATACGTTACCAGCACGTTTTTATTTTTATTTGCCTACATCCATTTGCGTTGCTTTGCTTTTCTGCAGAATCTGGCGCGCACGTATGGTGATGGCGACGAATGGAGAGGAAAGCCGCATGGCGACGATCCTTTGGGCGGGACTCACGTCGCTTCAGCTTGAAGCATCCCGCGATCGAGGTGCAACCCGCGTTTGAAGGGCCTTTACGACTTGAAGCGAAGGTCGCCACGAGATCTGCAGGAAGAAAGCAACAGGTTAGTACATGAGCTAAAAAAGCTAAAAAGCTTAACTGGCCAAAAACCGTTACAAGAAGAAGTCGAAAAATGCTGTACTTACCTCAGGTCTTAACGACGCTTCAGGTCTTAACGATGGCGCTTCAGCGTTTCAGTCGAAAAACGCTGCACTTAGCGTCGGCGCTTCACGTCTTAACAACGACTTGGGCGTCCAAGGCCGCGTTGCTGCGTCGGCGGTCGTTGCTGCGTCGTCGCTTTCGAGTGGCCTGAAAAAGAAGAGGCAACAGATTAGTACTTCAGACCGAGCACCAAAGTTACTGAAAGGCGAGTGAGAACGTTAAAGTAAATTATAAGTTAAACAGTCAATGGTACACGTACCCCAATTTGGCCGACCTGTCCGCCGTTGGCGACGGAAATTTGAACGCGATGATCGGCGAGACTTCCAATTGGGCTTCAGGGCGGGCCAATCGGCGTCCAGCTTGACTTGGGTTCAAACTTTAAACTTATGCTTGGGTCCCGTTCGTAAAAGCTTGAGCTTGCCGTATGCAGGAAAAAAAGGAACGTGTTAGACGTATTCTCAGAAGCACGTCAAACGGCGGAAAACGAACGATTCAGAGCTTAACAAAAAAATGAAGAAGTTGAAGAGAAATTACCGTCTCCGTGTAGGAAGGTCGGAGGAAGGTCGCACCTTGAATCAGCATCTTAAAACCGTTGAAGCTCTTTCCGAGACGAGCTTGGAGCGAAGGCGCGACTCGCATTCGGAGCTCGGGCCAACGGTGATGGTGACAATCTGAAGCTCAGTTAGGCTTGAGGTTGGGCTCATCACTTGGGCTTCAGGTTGGGCTTGAGTGAGCTCGAAGCGCCAGTGACGGTAGATTCTCTCATCCGGTTTTGAAGTCTGCAGAAACGGATAAGGAGGTCGTCTGCAGGAAAACGAAGAGCGAATTAAAAGGTGAAAAGGATTTGAAAAAGACGCGAACTATTTCTTGCCGATTTGGAAAAAAAAAAACACAAAAAAAAACAACAAAAAAAGTCCTTACCTCCACTCCATAGTCATTGTGTTGGAAGACTTTGCAGGCGGAGCTTGAACATATCAGATCTTCACACCGGAGCTTGAAGATATCGCCGGCGGAGCTTGAAGCATCCATACATTGAAGTGCAACCCGCGTTTGAAGCGTCCTCCCACTCGACCGTCTCCGTGTTGGTGACGGGAAAGAGACCGCAGCGACTTCCCTTGGAAGCAGCGACGGGGGGGGGGGGGGGGCGCGAAGCTCTCTTGTAGATCTTAACGGTGACACTCCATGTCTCGCCAAGACGGTCGCCACGAGGTCTGCGGGAAGAAAAGCAACATGTTAGTACATGAACAATGTTAAAAAGATTAAGAACTTAACTGGCCAAAAACGGACAAGAGGAAGTCGAAAAACTTTGCACTTTCCCACTCGACCGGTGAAGACCTCCGGGGAGCGACAGTGAAGGCCGACATGGTCTTTGCGGTTGCGAGACTTGTCTTCCCCGTGTTGAAGGTGGTTAGCTAACCACGACCTAGAACGACCTAACGCGATCTACATCGACCTAAGAAGAATCCGGCTTGACGAGATGAGACTAAGGGAAAGCGAAGACCTAAGAAGAAGATGAGCTACCTATGTTGGGGCGGTGGAAGGAGAAACAAGGCAGAGACTAGACCTGCGATGGGAAATGAAGAGAAGGAGAGGAAGCGTGCTGAAATGGAGAAGAACACAGCTGAAATGTCGAGATATCAAGTGACGTGATGAGAAGTCACGCCGGGTCAAAGGCGCGTCCAAGGAAGTCTGAAATTCGAACTCGAGGCGCGTTCGGTGCATGGTTGGATTTGGGAATTGAGCCGAGTACAACTCAGCTCGATATTAGGCGCGGCGCGAGGGCGAAATCAGAAATCCTTTTGCTTATAACTTGCTTTGTGTTTTCTGTTTTTGTATGCCTTCTTCAATGAAATTACTTGAACTTTCTGCCTTGGCGTTTTCCAGCAAATTCCTTCACATAGTTGAAGCTAGAGCTTCCTATGCATACTACTATCTAAATAGTCTTCATAGTCTAGACTAAAGGCTGCGCAAGTACAAGACCCCGCGGAAGCGACGGGGGAAGGTCGGCAACATCATCTTGAAGCTGAAGCATTTGAAGCTGAATCTCTGGCCGAGACGAGCTTGGAGCGGAGACCCCGTTGCGATTTTTTTGCCGTAGAAATCCTTGGCGTGGAGATATTGCAGAAATGATCCTGGCTACGTCGACGCTCTGATTTGCCGAGAAGATTGCGCCGTAGAACTCTCGCCGTGGAAGCTTCGTGGCGAGAAGATCTCAAAGAGAAGACTCGTGAAGACTCGCCATGTAAATCTCTTGGAAGAGATCATAGATTAGACGCGGTGTAATGTTGCCGCGAAAGGTTTTCATACACGGTTCGGCCCAAGGCACTTGGCAGCTCGCTCCTCACAGGACTCTACCCACCCACCCCACACCCGACCTCTATTCTAACTCAACGCCGCCTTGTGCCATGGGCTTCTCCGTGTACTAGTAACCGGGCGGCTGCAGGTAGCAAATTTTGCTCAGTGGAGCTTCTAGCCTGAAGTCTAAGCTCATTAGGTTGGAGCTTTCAAAGAATCCTTACGTCCGTAAATTTGACGAGGACGAAAATGGACGAGAAGGACACAACTTCGCTAGTGGAGGTTGCCGCTGAAACAGAAAGAGGTGGTGATGAATGGGTGAATGAATTCAAGTCACCAGTCCAGCCACGGCGGCGAGCCACGGCGGCGTGTCGTAGCGCGACTTCAAACCAAATGTGATGGGTCAGCAAAGTTAAGGCATTTACCAAGGTGCAGTATGGTCGGACGGGGTGCCAATTGGAGGGAATTACTGACACCACGCTGGGTGCGCGTGAACAAGGTGTGTTGTGAATGGGTGGATGGTGGTGGTGTAACAACCCTCAACGGTGACGATTACATCAGCTGTGGCATGGGATGGAGGCGTGGTGGTGGCCATTTTCATTGGCCAATGAAATGCCCCGCCGACTAAGCGGCAGCGGACATTTCCCAAAGGCGCGTGGTGAACATGTTGAGGCGGCTCGAGTGTGCCCCCGCCTTATCCATCCAGCCCAAACCATATTGTACATTCATCGCTCTGTACACAGTTGGGTTAAATATGATTACTGGTTGCAGTTGTCAGTATGCAAGCGAATTTGCTAAGGGCGAGTATATTCACTGGGGGGAGTTGCTGGATATGCTGGTGTCTAAGGGCAGGCTCGAACTTTCTTGGGGGTGGTTTGACGTGGCGCTAATTATAGTTGGGTCAGCATGAGAGAGTTTTTTTTTTTTTTTTTTTTTTTTGGGTTGCGAAGCAACCCTTTACGATCGATTTTGACAAATTTTCTTTCATGTTTTTTTTAATAAAACATGAAATAAAATTCTTAAGCTACAGTACTACCCTTCCCATAGCAGTTTTTGTAATAGTATTGTGCATAAATGCTATACTGTTTCTCTTATATCTTTTACTGTTTGCATTTGATATTGTTATGATAATTGCATGTGATAAAATTTATGCATACTAGTAATGAATTACATGCCACGCATGTTTAAATGAATGTAATAATGAAGCATGATATATAAATGCATACCGATGAAAATGCTTTTGTATGCACATGATATGCTGAAATGCACCACACCAGTATATCATACAAATGCGTGATAGTTAACGACCCAAAAACTAGGCTACCGCATCCCCTGCCTAGCATGGGGGGAAGTCAATAGCAAAGTCTTTGAATAATCAACTAGCACATGAAACAATACAATCTGTTAACTCTAAAAAAGAGGTTCACTCTATCAAATCCAGTTCGAAGTGGCAAACACACGAGTCACTGAGTGCGCCAATGAACCAATGAGAAATGATAGAAATGAACCCCTTTTTTAAAATTGACAGACATGCATTGATATTGCAATGACAGATGGAATGAATGCATTCACATAAACAAACATATCCACACAACAAAAACACACGAGCTCTGGCAAACCCAGCCAAAAAACACGCAATACACGTGATACTAAATAAGAAGCAAATCAACATTAAAATGACAATACGATAAATCCTAATGACCAATACACATTTTCCAAATTGAAATCGCCTTCCTGACCAGCAAGGCTCCTGAGAAACGGGTTCAGGAAGTGGAAAGGAGGAACAGACAGAATTAGCCGGTACAACAAACATAACAGAAAAAGGTATGAGATGTGATGAAATGAAGAGAAAAAAGAATAACGAAGAAGCAAATGAAACAATACAAGGGCTACAAAAACGACGTGAATATTGAATGGTTAGACCTGACAAAGAGCAAGGAGAAGAATGTACCAAGGCATAAAACGAGAACGGGAACAGAGGGAAAAAATAACGAGACAGTAAACGAAAGCAGAGAATATAACGAATACGGAGAGCGAGAACAACGGAGAGCGAGAGCGAGAGCGAGAGAGGACAGGAGAGAGAGGACGAGAGATGGAGGACGGGAGAGAGAGGACGAGAGAGAGAGAGAAAACGATTCATGGTAAAACGATTCATGAGAGAGCGCGATAGGGCACGAAAGAAACGATGCAGCCTTATTAACGACCTAAAAAAAACAAGGACAACTGACGCCTTTACGAAACCTAGGCTTCAACGATTTTCATTCCATGAAAACGACCAAATGCGGAAGTACGAAGATCTTAGTCTAGCTTGTGATCGTTTAACTTAGTCTCTAGTTAATAGCTACGGGTCTTCTAACCAACGAGATGTTCTTTATCTCTTCTTTTATCTCACTTTCAAACACAGTCGGTAACAAAAGAAGGGAAGGCTAAGGAGATAAGAAAGCGAAGATGATGGTGATAAGATGAGATCTAAGCGAAGATTATGATGATGATAAGAAAGCACCTATGTCTGGTTTAGTCTGGTATGTAACATCCAACTTAGATCTAAGTTATAGATTAGGTTCTTCTCACCAGTGGCATAAAAATGGAGTAGATGGCGCATACGTAGCAGGCCACCTGAAGGAAGAACGCAAAAGGATATAAAAAAGAGAGAAAAAAAGAGGTAAAACCACCAGTATTGATCGAATCAACAAGGAAAATGAACATGGCTAGATCTAGATATAAAAGTGATGAGATCGCGTCAAGAGAGACAGACAAAAATCGAATAAGTGGAAAAGAAGCACTAGCTAAGAACGACCTAACTGTTAGCAGCCCAAAAAAACAGATCTAGATGTTAAGTTAATATGGCGGACGTCAAGATTCTACCTAACAACAACATCTAACAAGCTATATTACGAGTCGTCGGTAGTTACGATCCACCATATGCTAAGTTTAGTCTAGCGTAGAACATCTAACTTAGTTATGTTCAACGAGGGTAATTCTCACCACGGGTAGGTTGGTGGAGCGTGACTAGCGGCCGTTATAGTTTACAACCAAGCTCCAGTGGCGAGAAGGGAGGGTGGAAAGGAAGAAACAGAAACCCTAAAGGCGTTGCTGATTGCATATTACTATACATTTTCTTAACAAAACTGTATAAGTTGTCCTCGCGCAGTCGGTTGAAAACGACCTTCGGAACCGCAAGGTCTAATGCTCGATTCCTGCGGTACGCACTTTTCAAACCTCAAACTGAACACCCCAAAAAGGGATGGAAATCATGTAACTTTCTTTATGTAATTTTGTTTTTATTTTTTTGTACAATGAGAAATGCTTCGCAACCCTTAGACGATTTCGTCGCCTCTTGTTTTTTTAGTTTCGGCGTGAGTTGCGGGGCGACTTTGGTTGGTTTGGGGGTATTCGTCCGTGGCACTGTGACCGCTTTCATCCTTACTCGGGCAGCTGGGAAAACAAAGGGTGGATGAGAAGAGATTTGCGCGAACCAATGGGAATGAGTTGTGGTTTGACACCCTGGCACAACCACCATGGCAATATCAACATTCCGAACCTCGATCTTCCGAACCTACCTAAATTTGTTAGGTAGTACAGTCGGTGCCCATTACAAGAACACCAGGTAGGCGGGCGGCATGTGAGTGAAACGAGTTTTTCAGTTTCGCTCATTCGCCCGTGCTTTCGCCCTCGTCGCCCCAGGCAAAATTGTGACTCAAAAATGAAAGTGCAATGAAAGTGGAATGTGGGGCTTTAATTTTGTAACCAAGTCACCACTTTGCTGACGTGTATTCTTTGTTGTTTGTGCACTGTAGATGTTGACTTCAGCACATATGTGACTGTATAGTCGATGCTCAGCCTATCACAAAAATTTGCTTATCACAATTAGAAAATCAATCACTCGCGAACGTTGTGCCTGTGAGTGGTGATTGTGCTTATTTCAGGGTACAGTCACCAAGTCGAGGAAGAAAAACATCTACAGTTCATAAACAACAACGGCTGCCTGTCATCAGAATTGTTTACCTGGTTACGAACTTAAACCCCCAGTCTCGTTTCACATTCCAATTTCATTTTACAATCACATTTTTGCCCGTGGCGACAAGGGCGAATGTGGCGAAATGTCCAAAACTCGTTTCACTCACATGCCGCCCGCCTACCTGGTGTTCTTGAAATGAGCACCGACTGTACAACTAAAATTTCACAATGCTCAATTCAGTCACCCCACGGGCGCGAGTGAGTAAATTTGTAATTGTGCTAGGCATTTGTTTTGTGATAGGGTGAGCATCGACTGTAGTTTCGCTATTTCAGATCTCAGCGCGGTAGCCGATATTAGTAGATTTTTTTGACGATGCAAAGTGCCGCTCACTCCTCGGTCGTACGTACAGTTAGTCGCTTCACGCGTCTGTTGGCGCGCTAGCAGTATTAGGTATGATCAGATATCGCAGTCTTGATAAGCCATTTGAAGTTGCGCGCTCCAGATCTGACTTCAATTTACCTGCGTAATGACGGAATCATGACGTTGTCGGCGGACGAGTTACTATCGTCAATTTCCTAAGCGTCAGTAACGTAGTTCGTTTCGTCGATAAGACAGCGCGTTTCGTCTACCTCACAGCGTCGACTGTACTCTGGACGCAAGACGCGTTAGGGAGGTGAGTGGAGGTGACGGTAATTTCCCCTTCCCCCTCCCCTTTCCGCTTTTCCCCTCATGACCTAGGATCGTCGACGGTATCTTGAACTTGAGCCGCGGAAAAGGAGGACGAGAGGTGAGTGGAGGGGAGAAGAGGGAGGAGCGGACGGAGAGGACTGGCGGAAGGGCGAAGCGGCCATGTCTGCCTTATTTTCCCCTCCCGCGTCCCTTTTCTTGGTGTGACCCGGCCTAGAAACTTCACGCATCTCTCAGCTTCTTAACTGGCTCATTCTTCCCGCTCTCCCCTCATACTCCGCGCTCTCCCCTCACCTCCCGCCTCTCCCCTCATCCTCCCCGCTCTCCCCTCGTCTTCATCGCTTTCCCCTCATTACCCCGCTCTTCCCTCTTCTTTCCGCGCTCCCCTCATCTCTCCCTGCTTTCCCCTCATCTCCCCCTCCTCCCCTCATCTTCCCCGCTCTCCTGTCATCTTCCCCGCTCTCCTGTCATCTTCCCCGCTCTCCTGTCATCTTCCCCGCACTCCCGTCCTTTCCCCCTCTCCCTTCATCCAACCAGCCCCCCCTTCATATCGCTGCCGCGCTCTATTGTTTTGTTCCTTCATGCACCCTCATCTCCCCTTGTCTCACTCCATTCCCCCTCTCTCCCCATCCTCTCCCGTTCCCCGCTTTCAGACTCACCCCTCATCCCCTTCCCCCTCCCATACTTCAACTTCCCCCCTGACGATGTCTCGTCTCCCCCTCCCACACCCTCCCCTCCCCCCATCCACCCTTCAACTCCCGCCCCTCCCCTACCACCGTCCCCTCATTTTCCTCATCTCTCACACCCCCCTCTACTCTTCCACAACCCAGCCACTGAAGTGGGTGAATTCTGTTGTTTGTGAGACACTCTCAGGCCTGCCGTCACTGCACCAGTTTCTCAAAACGTGGCTGCTTTGCTTGTGTTTGCTTTGCTGCATGGAATTTGACTTTCTCAGCTGCGTGGTGGTCTGGCAGGTAGCTGTATGTGGCTTGACTGACTGACTCACTGGTTGAGTTAGCAGCTACAGAAATGACTCTCTGAGTTCCTTCCTGGGCTGACGTGTGGCTGCGTTTCATTGGCCAGCAGCAGGCCCACTAGATTCTGCTGTAAACGTTTTGATTGATTGTGTTATATAGCCTGTTTGTTACAAGACCTGGTACAACCCGAAATACGGTACCGTATGGAACCCTTGGAAGGCACAACCATGGCCCACGGAGTGGAACGCACATGGATGGATTGTTCATGGCCCACTGTACCAGCATGACAGATTTACAAGGCAAGAACGGTGAATGCAATCTGAATCGCACCAATGTCGAGACTAAAAGCACAAGCACATCACAATAAGATCCGTATTCTATGTTCTCCATCCATGTTCTAGTCGACTCAAAAAACATCCATTTGTTTGTTTGGTTCGCTCTCCTCCATCCCCCACTCCTCCCCTAGTGCGGCCACAGCTTCGATCCCCTGATGCCGCGCTTCCAGTCGCCCCCCACTGCTTCCATTATATCATCTGAATCTCTCCACGTGAACTCCAACTGGGATAAGAGACAAGAGGGGTGAGAGGAGAAGCGGGAGTTGACAGATGTGAGCAAACCCCCCACTGCCTCCATTACCGTCTGACTCTCTCCATGCGATCTCCAGCTGTTGTGACGGGAGGGGAGAAGTGACGAGAGGGGAGAGGTGGGTGGGACATGTGGGTGGGACATGTGGGTGGGAGTGGAAAAAGAGGGAGAGAAGTGGGAAGGAAGGGAGTGTGGTGTGGGGATGGGCCAAAGTAGCGAGGCGAGTGGGGAGTGATCCCAGAGCACCAGCGACGAGGCAACTGCTCAATGGCATAGCTGCCCCCCTCCTGCAGCTGCCCCCCTCCTGCATGCCCTGGGCCCTCCCTCTGCCCCTTGAGCCCACATGCCTTGCGCCCTCCCCTGTACCTACCCGTCATCACGCCCCAGGCCCTATGCTACGCGTCAGCCCTTTTACTCCAGGCTTGCAGCTACTCCATAGAATACCAACTGAGTTTGGAGGCTGACATAGCTGTCCCCCAAGTGCCCCTTGGGCCCACATACCCTGTGCCCCTTGCGCCCTCCTTGTACCTACCCGTCATCACGCCCGAGGCCCTATGCTATGCCTCTCTGTGAATAGTGCCTAAGTCACCTGCTGGAGGAACAACACCCACCATCACTAGTGGTGGGTCACATATAAATGAACCCAACCTGGCCGATGTCCACCACAGCACACCGCATTGCACCGCATTATACCGCAGTTGCGAACCCACCTGCCCAATGACAACAGTGTCGCCCTCCCGCACGCCCCGCGCCCTCAGTGCCTCGTTGATTCCACTCGCCTCCAATACGTGGGCAAAGCGCCGCACTGCTTCGAAGTACCTGCACCAGGGAACAGGGGGTGGTGGTGGAGGGTGGAGGGTGGTGGATGGAAGGGTGGGGATAGATGGAGATGGAGGCGCAGCAGCAACTGAACTGTGACTGCCAAGCGACTTCAGCGAGCTCTCAAAACAATTACGCCTCATCCCCTCTCCCCCTCTTCCCTCCCCACTCCCCACTCACTCTCCCCAAGCCTCACCCTCCCGAATCTCTGCTCCCCCTCCCCATCCCCTCCCCACCACTCACTCCCAGTTGGACATCTGCACGAATCGTTCAATGCCCTCCCCCATCACTTCAAACACGTGCGTACAGCACTTTCAACTGTCACTTACTCCGTTCCCCCAACACCCACCCTCTCATCCCCTGCTTCCCCCCCTCAATCTCCCCAGCACTCACTCCCAGTTGGTCATCTGTACGAATCGCTCGATGCCCTCCCCCGTGACCTCAAACACGCGCGTGTGTCCATCGAATGCCACCCGGAACTCGTTCACTGCCGCCCGCCTCGCCCTCTGCACCTCCGCTGCTAATCCCAGGCGCTGGCGCGTGGTGTTGGGGGCTGGGGCGCGGAGAAGGGCAGCGGAGGACGGAGGGGGGAGGAAGAGGGAAATGAGGAAGAGGGAAATGAGGAAGAGGGAAATGAGGAAGAGGAGGGGCAGCAGGTGAGGGGCACGAGGGAAACTCGTTCATACAGCCCTCGTTCATACAGCCCTCGTTCATGACTCAAAACTTGACGCGCCCCAAAAGCCACATCGATGCAACATAGCTTCTTTTGGCAACGCAACCGCTGCACCAAACTTCCTTACCTTCTTCCTCCTCCTCGTCCCCCCATCCGTCCCTCTCCCTTTGAACGCGCTTCAGCAAGTCATAAGCCGCCCGCACCACCTCATGTGTGCCCTGTCCTGTCACTGCACTCATACACAGCACCACCGGACCCTTCCTCCCCTCCCCCTCCCCCTCCGCCCCGCCCCACCACGCCCCGTCCTCCTCGCCCTCCCCTCCCAGCCCCAGCTCGCGCACGGCTTCCTGGAAGCTTCCCCACTGCTGCTGCGCATCTGGCAGGTCCATCTTATTAAACACGATGACACGGGGCTTGGCAGCGAGGGAGGGCGAGAAGAGGGCGAGCTCGCGAGTCACTGCCTGGAGCTCCAAGTAGGGCTGGGGGCTGCTGCCATCCACCACGTGAATCTGGAACAGCAGGGGGGGAAAGGACAGGAAAGGCAGAACGGGAAAGAGGACAAGGGCAGGTCCATCTTATTGAACACAATGACTCGAGGCTTAGCAGCTAGAGAGGGCGAGAAGAGGGCGAGCTCTCTTGTTACTGCCTGGAGCTCCAGGTACGGCTGGGGGCTGCTGCCGTCCACCACGTGGATCTGAAAACGGGGGGTGCACGAGAGGGCATGGGAAGGGCATGACTCATGAGAGAGTGCAAGGGAGGGGTGCTGCGCATCTGGCAGGTCCATCTTATTGAAGACGATGACCCTCGACTTGGCGGCTAGAGAAAGCAAGAAGAGGGCGAGCTCCCTGGTTACAGCTTGGAGCTCCAGGTACGGTTGTGGGCTGCTGCCGTCCACCACGTGGATCTGGAACAAGGGGAAGAGGGGGGAGGAAGACAATCAAACTCGGCTTGGCAGCGAGGGAGGGCGAGAAGAGGGCGAGCTCGCGAGTCACTGCCTGCCTGCAGCTCCAAGTAGGGTTGAGGGCTGCTGCCATCAATGACGTGGATCTGGGATGGCAGGGGGAAAGTGGGAGAGAGGGCGTGAGAGAGTGCAAGGGGCCCCATCTTATTAAAGAGGACACACGGCTTGGCAGCCAGCCAGGGAGGGCGCGATGTGGTCAGTGCCTGCAGCTCATGTTTTTTGAGAATTAAAAAAAAGAATTCTAAAAAATAATTCTCAAAAATAATTCTCAAAAAACAGTCAGTGCCTGCAGCTCCAGGTAGGGCTGCGGACTGCTGCCATCGTCCATGACAGACATGGATCGGTTTTATCACTCGCCACCACCAGCACCAATCAACTCATCTCACCAGCACTCTGCAGCGGTCCGTGTGCCTCAGGAACTGGTGCCCCAGCCCTCGCCCCACATGCGCGCCCTCCAGCAGCCCAAACCCATAGAGCGAGGCTGCTCAAAGCTCATGCTCATGCACTGCAAGTCAACTCACCAGCACTCTGCAGCGGTCGGTGTGTCTCAGAAACTGGTGGCCCAGCCCTCGCCCCACATGCGCCCCCTCCAGCAGCCCCAACCCAAATAGTGAGACTGCTCAAAGCACATGCGCACGCACTGCATGCAAGTCAACTCACCAGCACTCTGCAGCGGTCGGTGTGTCTCAGAAACTGGTGCCCCAGCCCTCGCCCCACGTGCGCGCCCTCCAGCAGCCCAGGCACGTCCGCCCACACCATGCTGTCAAAGCCGCCTGGCAATGCCACCACCCCTAAATTTGGGACTAGTGTTGTGAACGGGTAGTTCGCCACCTGGAGGAGTTGGAGGGTTGGGAGATGAGAGGGGGAGGAGAGGGGGAAGCAAGAGGAGAGAGGGGGGTGAAGGGGCGAGTAGCTGTCCAGCAGCCCAGGCACGTCCGCCCACACCATGCTGTGGAAGCCTCCTGGTACTGCCACCACGCCCAGGTTGGGGACTAGTGTTGTGAATGGGTAATTGGCCACCTGGGGTGATACGGAGAGATCGATGCAAGAGATAAGAGGAGAGAGGGAGGTGAAGGGGTGAGTGCCCCCTCCAGCAGCCCAGGCACGTCCGCCCACACCATGCTGTGGAAGCCGTTTGGCACTGCCACCACTCCATCCAAGGTTGGGGACTAGCGTGGTGAATGGATAGTTGGCCACCTGGGGTGAGGTGGGTGGGAGGAGGGCGGATAGGGATGAGGGATGAGTAGACACGAGAGTGGTGAATGGGTAGTTGGCCACCTGTGGGGTGATACGGGGAGGATGATGTGGAGAGGAGAGGGGAGAGGAAAGCAGTAAGCAGCCGTCCAGCAGCCCAGGCACGTCCGCCCACACCATGCTGTGGAAGCTGCCTGGCACTGCCACTACTCCCAGGTTGGGGACTAGCGTGGTAAAGGGATAGTTGGCCACCTGGGGGATTGAGAAGCAGGAAGTACGAAGAGGAGGAATGAAGGACTCTCGAAGAGGGTTGGGGGGAACAATGCCCCACCTGCTCCGCCCACCTGCTATCGAAGCCTACTGGCACTGAGACAACTCCCAGGTTGAGGAGAAGCGTAGTGAATGGGTAACTGGCCACCTGGGGAGGAAGGTGGGAGGGAGGAATGAGATGAAAAGAGAAGAAGAAAGGAGAGAGAAGGGGGGAGCTGCAAGCCGTGCGAGAGGCGTAGCACTTGCCTCCTGCGCCCCCCCCGACCCTAGCATGGTGAACGGGTGGTTTGTTACATGTACTGTCCGTGATCCGAACACATGCTTTCAAGGGTTGCACTTACTTTGGGGCGCGCGGCAGAGATGGCAGCGAGCAGCGTTGACTTGCCCGCGTTGGGTGCGCCCACGATGCCCACATCTGCCACCACTCTCAACTCCAGCTGCACCCACCTGGGGGGAGAGGGGAGGGGTGGGGAAGAGAGGGGGAGATGTGAGCAAGGGGTATGGGTGGTGTGAGCAAATGTAACATGACAAGCATTTAGGGCGTTGGGTGCGCCCACTATGCCCACATCAGCCACCACCCGCAGCTCCAGCTGCACCCACCTGGGGGGAAGAGGTTGGCGGGAGGAGGGGTGTGTGAGGAAGGGTATGGGTGGTGTGATGTGAGGGGTTGTACGCATAAACCATTTCGTATTTCCCCAACCCACCACCTCCAGCCTCCGCTTACCCCCTCCCTCCCCACATTCCCCCCTGTTTCCCCCATTCCACTCACATCTCGGGCCCCTCCTCCCACTTTTCCGAGATCTGGGGTGCGTTAGTCCGCCCAGTCTTGAACGCCGCGTTCCCCCGCCCACCCCTTATCCCCCAACTTTCCCAAATGCCCCCCATCCCCCCTGTTTCCCCTAGAAGCACTCACATCTCGGGCCCCTCCTCCCCCTTCTCCGCAATCTGGGGTGCGTTGGTGCGCCCAGTCTTGAACGCCGCGTTCCCCCGCCCGCCCCTCCCCCCCGCCAGCAGCACCTCGCTCTGCCCCGCGCGCACCAGCTCCAGCAGCGCGCGCCCCTCCCCCTCCCCCTCCCCCTGCTGCGCCCCTTCCCCCTCCGCCTCCCCTTCCCACTCCTCCCCACCGCTCTTCATCCCCCAGTCCCGCACAGGCCCCCTCCCCACCACCTCGCGAACAATAGTCCCCGGAGGGACTTTAATCTCCACGTCCCGACCCGCCTCGCCGTGCCTGTTACTCCCCTTCCCATGCGCGCCGCGCGTCGCCCTGAAATGCACCGACCGGCGGAACGGCAGGAGCGAGTTCAGCGCCGGGTCGGCAGTAATGATTACGTTGCCGCCCCGCCCGCCGTTGCCCCCCGACGGGCCGCCGTCCGGAACAAACTTCTCCCGGCGGAACGCCACTACCCCGTCGCCGCCGTCGCCGGCTTTGATGTAGATTTTCGCCATGTCGAAGCAGCGCATCACTGCTGGTAACCCTCTTCGCTCCGCGTCTGATGCTGGTGGTGATGAGGAGGAGGGGTCGTTGCCTTCCCATCCGTCCTCGTCTTTTCCTTCTAGCCACCGCATCTCCTCTCGCAGCCGCCTCTGCTCTTTCCTCCTCAAATGAGACAAATCATCCTCGTCCTCCTCCTCTTCGTCCTCACCCTCTCCCTCCTGCTCCTCTCCCCCTACTTTTTCGTCGCGAGCAGATCCGGTGGTGCCCTCGTCTCGCACACTCACTGCTGCCGCCTTCCTTTCTCCGATCGACCCTGCGGGCTCAGCCGCAAAACCCCGGGGTTCAGGGGTTACCTGTCCCCTAAGCCCTTCCGCCGCTGCCTGCGCCCTCTCCCGCGCCTTGGCTTCCGCCAGCGCCATCTCCATCTCAGCCAGCTGGCGCCGCAGCGCCGCAATCTCCCCCTCCATGTCCGCCACCCCTCCCCCCGCGCCATTACTCGCCTCCGCCACTTCCCCGCGCGCCGCTTCTCCCGCGCCCATCTCCCGCCCCGCCTCCGCACCGATCTCCCCGTCTTCCTGCAGCCAATCGCCGTCCACCATGCGCCCCGCCGCGGGCGCAACTCCCGCCAGTTTCTCCGCCTCCAGTTGCGCGATTTCGCGCTCCGCCTCTAGAAGCAACTCCCGCTCCTCCTCCTCAGTCATCGGGGGTAAATCACCCTCCCAAAACTCTACCCTCACATCGTCTTCCTCTCCCTCATCTTCGTCCTCCCAATCCTCATCCCACTCCTCTTCCTCTTCCTCTTCCTCTTCCTCGTCCTCGTCCTCATCCTGTCCTCGCTCCCTAGCCACGTCAGCAGCGGGCGTGCCTGCGACAATCCCTGCCTTATCTTCCTCGCTAATGACTGGTGCATCTTCAAGGACGGCGGTTGATGCAGCGCTTGATGCGGCGGTTGATGCGGCGACTGCCGCGGCGACAGGAGCGGTACCTGCATTTTCAAGCTCTTGCTTGTTGTCAGCACGTAAACCCCTTGTTGCTCTGCTTCTTGGCGCCACGTCAGATCCTTCCCCGTCCACGTCATCCTCACGGCGACCTAAAGCAGCTACAGTTGTGCCACTGGCCCACGAGAAATCCGGTTCTGACGCCGCTGACGTGGCATCCCATGATTCGCCATTCGTCCGGGAAGCGCGTCTTTCAGTCCTTTTCGGCTGCTTGGTCCGCGTCGCTGAATTCTTCTTCGCTTTAGACGTCTTCGCTGTCACGTTAAGAGCTTTACGCCTGACGCAGCACCGTTCACCTGTACTCGTTACAAATCGTCCCGTTAGCGCTGTAGGTAGTGACGGCAGGAACAGAGGACCGGGATTCCGAGAACTTAAAGACGGATCCAGAACCACGTAACGCGTAGGATGCGGAACAGCAACGAGCTGCCGGCACAGCGCCATGACTGACGCTTTTCCAGTGACAATGACAATTATGGACGAAGGGTCTAACAAAACTTCCAAAAGAGAGGCGACGGACGAGGAATGATGAAGGATTATGACCTACTGATGGCTTCGGTGGGAGATTCACGCAAAAACAATCAAAGATTTGTCTTGACCCCAGATAGCCATGAATAATCTGATGAGGATGACGGTGCGCTTTTGAAAAAGGCAAGCGCACCGACGTGGAGCTGATGTGGCTGCGCGAGTGTTGTCCAGGAATCCCGTTATGTGAGTACAGCTGATTAAATACATAGAACCACAATAATACATATGACACGTTGAGATCTTATACCACTTCCCTTCCTACTACGTTTGTTTGTTCCATGTCATTTACAGCATTCTGGGGTGCTGTTCCGAGTCTATCCTTGGGAAAGAAACACATAGTGTCGCTCGCATTCTTGCACTGAAATACGTACGCTTGATCATAATGGAACGACCTGCAAAAACAGAGCAGGATGATAAGATTAGTGAAGGTGCAAGCGTGCAATGTAACCTTGCTGGGTGCTCCATAAAAAAATTCAAACATCCATAATAAAAGGTTCATAAAAGGCTTTAACCCAGCCAACGTACTCACCCTTCCTTTCCTGTGAACACTGGGTCATAGTTGTATATCAGATAACGGTACAACTCACGCCTTGACCGTGGTTTGTGGCCGGACTTGCGGGCCTCACTAATGGATTTACAGCGGCGGGAGAGAGTGGAATAATGGGTTTATGTGAGCGGCCGGAGCATTGCACCGTAATGGACGGAGAGCCACACGATTAGGATTTGGTTTCTTGTGAATGTGGGTGGGATATTGTGGAGCATTCCATGCATGCATTGGCAACAAGCATCTGACAGGTCGGCAAACATACCAGGAAAGATGTGACATGGGGCAGATGGGGGGCAGGAAAAGGCAGTGAAGGGGCAAGAGAAGGGCAAGGAGGGGCAGAACAGGGGGGAGAATATAACTAGAAGTAGAGGAGAGATGCAGGGAGCGACGCTCACTTGGCAAAGAATGTGCCGGCAGCATGTGTGATCTGCACAGCATCGGAGGAGTGTGGGAAGATGGGGTTGCCCCACTCGTACGCATTCTTCTGCAGGTCCAATAAAAAAAGTAGAGGGGGGAAAGTGGGGGGGGGGGGGGGCAGGGACAGTAGGTTGTTGCCGTTGTGTATGCATGCACGGACATGTAAGAACGCCAGAAAGCGAGGGATACAAACGCCACTAACAGGCACAGAAGCTGCGCCCAGGTGGGAGCGATACTGGGAGCATGTGGGGGGTGCATGATCTCAGTACAGTACCTCGGGGTGCCATTGTAGAGCAGTAAAGGGGTATCGCTTGGATCTCACAGTTGGGTGTGGGTGCATGTTTACGGCACCTAGAGGTGCATTCCTACAGAACCACGTGTGGGTGCACAGCAGCATTCCTGACGTACCTCGGGGTGCCACTGTAGAGCAGTGAAGGGGTATTGCTTGGCCTCCACCGTTGATATGTACTCCTGGCATTGGAATCAAATGAGATGGGGGGATGGTGGCATGATGGAAAGATAAATCAAGGGAGCATGGTGATAGGTAGTATTGATAGTGAGGGCGATGGGCATACGTCTTTTTAAGGTTACCATGTGACAGTAACGAGAGGGATATGGGAGCATGGGAGGCATGCAGGGCCAATAGGAGAATGGGCAAGAGGGAGGCATGAGCAATCAGGTTGTCAGCACCGTCATTTCCACACCAACCTTGCCACCACCAACACCCACCCTGCCATTGTCACCACCAGCACCACCCGCACCTTGCCGTCATCATCAGCAGTGGTGGTGAGGATGTTAAATAAGGACGAGAGACCCTCATCGGCGTTGAACGTCTCGGGAGTCAACCCATACTGCCACGTGCACATGGGGGACACACAGGGGGGTGAAGCATCAGTGGTAAAATCGTGAAAGCCTCAAAAGGGTCAGATTCCTGAACTAAGGGAACATACCTTATGATTCTCCATGGTCAGGTTTTCCTTTTCCAGTCGGTCCACTAGTCTTCTGCGCATCCTGCAACACAAACGAGAGGTGTGATTATGAGAGTTTGTGATAAAGTTTTCAAAATCATGTGCTCCAGCTTCCATCAGAATTGAATGGTCAGGTAGTATGAAATATGAATCCAGAGATGTAAGTACACGCTTTTAACATGCAAGTGTGTGCACCACTATCAGGTAAGCAACCCACCATGCGAACATGTTTCTGTCCTTGGCCCATTCTCCCACGAACTGCAGCGTGCTGGGCCTCTTAGCGTTGGTCGGCTCCAATACCTTGCGACCTCCCTGCACCGCATCGGACCCATCCAAACACTCAGCAGTACAGCTTGTGCTGAGAATAGCATAACATGGCACGTAGCATGCATTGTATGTGACAAATGACAAGGCAACAGAGTTGGTAATGGCCAATAGAAGTAGTAGCACATAAATTGGCCAGCGAATGAGGACACAAACTCGCACCACCAAGTGCAATGAGGGTACTGAATCGTATCACCCACTGTACACAGGGTTATCACCAGGACCACTTACCGTGCTGAGGATGATGGTGAGCATTTCGAAGCTGAGGCACTCGGCATAAATAGGGAAATAGTCGCCATTGTCATTGAACGACATGGCCATCTGCACAACGACACACACACGCACACACGCACACATGTCCACACTCTCACGCACACACATGCACAAACAAACACGCACAGGCACACACACGCGCAAACGCACACACACGCACATACAAACAGAGGTATGGAAGTCACGAAAGTGGATTTCTCGAACATGGGCAGGACTTGGATTTGGTCTCCTCGAGTCCAATCAAATCTCACAAGCACCCGTTTGCCCGTGCGTGGTACGGCATGCCATCCCACACCCTGCCATACCAGCCCAGACCAGCCCATCCCATCCCACGCGAAGTCATTTCAGCCAACCCCTCTCTATCCCATCCAATCCCACCAAGCCATCCCATTCCATCCTTGCCTCCAGCTCGCCCTTTTTCCACGCCCACCTTCAGTAACCGACGAACGGTCCGGAGGAACCTTCCTCGCTTATTCGCGTCGCCTCCCGGCAGCACCAGTCCGTTCACCAACCGGAGCTTCTTAATAATCTGGCGGCGCGGCTCGTTGTAAATAATTGGCACGACTCTAGCGCCTCCGGCCTCGATAAACTTTACATAAGACGCTGCGATATAAGATAAGTTGGCGAAATGGTTCTCTACCGTCGCGTTGAACACGCGTGCAATCTCGCCGCTGTCCGCAATTCCGGGCTGCGAGAGAACGCCGATCAACGGCTGATATGTCACGGGTTCCGCATCGCCGTTGAACAGATCGCTGGGTGGCCGATTATCCCGACCGTTGCTCTGAGGACCTTCGGAAAGAGGAACGTTAGAAAGAGGAGCTTCGGAACGACGACGCTCATTGTTCCTAGTGTCTGTCCTTCGAGTACCAGCACTGCTGTCTACATCGTCATCGAAAGCCTTCTGTCTATAGGCGGTTGTCATAGGTGCTCTGACATTGTGATGCTGACTCGGAGGTTGGTTATCCTCATTGCTTCTGTCTCGATGTCTCGGCTTTGTCGGCCAGGAATTATAGTCATGGGAATAAGCAGGATGGACTGCTGCTGGGGCTACGATAAGCACACAGGCTAATAAAAGCGCTGTCTTGCGAGCTTTCCAGGCCATGTATATAAACTGATTGCATAGGCTGCAGCTGGGCTTGCTACGTAATTCTTTCGCACAAATTATCTCACTAAGACGTTGTCACACTGTGACGATTAAACAGTCGAGTCGAACCTAGTCCCGAGCAAGTCACACTTGCTTATGCGTAACCAGCAACCTAGGCAATCGAAGAACAAAGAACAAGGTGCTCCTTTTTTTACCGTTGGAGTTATGGCCTCCCCATGAGCGTTGGGGTTTTCGAGGCTCAGGGAATGGCGAGTGGGGGTGAAAAATGCGCTCCGACAGGTGTCTCGAGGTTCCCCTCTCCCGCCTATGCGCTTGGTGAGGAGAGGGAGGGGAGGGGTACCGAGGAATCCCTCACGGGAAGAAGGCATGGCGGGAATGGGGCAGAGACTCAGCCCCCACCCCAAACCATCCCATTCAGGCACAATGAAACCAGCGCCGGACCTCTCAACGAGGCTTGGAAAACCGTATCGAGACAGGTTTGGCTGATAATATGGCGGCGCAGCACCGTACCATCCGAACTCCGCCAGGTTCCGCAAGTGTTCATAGGGACAACATCAGCTGCAATCAAATTAGGTCAGCGCGGTTCGCAAATGAGACCCCTAACAGTCCGCCTGGAAGAAACTGATAGGTCGTCAACTGCCCGCGGTCAGAAAAAGATAAACCCCATCTGGATTCCTTGGTGGGGCGAATGGTAATGGGGCTGAAACCGCAATCACCCTTTCCCTATAGGCGTATGGAAAAGCATTCAACAACCTGAATGTTAATGCATATTCGAGTGGCCCATGTTCAGGTACACATGTTAGAGCCTTTTCGCTGGGTTCTTGCGCAAAGAAAAGTTCGGCGCCTACGATTTCGGCTGTTTTTGCCGCCAAATGCTTAGAAAGCGCATACATTCCTATAGGCGTACGGAAAAACATTCAACAACCTGACTGTTAATGCATATTCAAGTGGCCCATGTTCAAATACACATAGTAGAGCCTTTTTGGCCAGGTTCTTGCGCAAAGAAAAGTTCGGCGCCTACGATTTCGGCCGTTTTTGCCGCCAAGTGCTTAGAAATCGAATGAATCCCTATAGGTATAAAAAAGCATTCAAAAACCTAAATATTAAAGCATAGTCGAGTGACCCATGATCAAATACACCTCCTAGAGCCTTTTCAGCCGAGTTCATGCGCAAAGAAAAGTTCGGCGCCTACGATTTCAGCTGTTTTAACGCCAAATGCTTAGAAAACTTATGAATCCCTATAGGCATAAAATAAGCACTCAACAATCGGTTTTTTTATGCATATTCGAATGGCCCATATTCAAATCCACCTACTAGAGCCTTTTCAGCCAGGTTCTTGCGCAAAGAAAAGTTCGGCGCCTATGAGTTTGGCTATTTTTGCCGCCAAATGCTTAGATTGCGCATGAATCCTTATAGGCGTAGGGAAAAGCATTCAAAAACCTGAATTTTATTGCATATTCGAGTGGCCCATATTCAAATACACATACTAGAGCCTTTTTGGCTTGATTTCTATGTGAAGAAAAGTTCGGCGCTTACAATTTCGGCCGATTTTGCCGCCAAGTGCTTGAAAAGCACGTGAATCTCTACAGGCATAGGGAAAAGCATTCAACAACCTAAATTTTATTGCATATTCGAGTGGCCCATGTTTAAATACACATACTAGAGCCTTTTTGGCTTGGTTCTTGCGAGAAGAAAAGTTCGGCGCTTACAATTTCGACCGATTTTGCTGCCAAGTGCCAAGATAGCGTGTGAATCCCTATAGGCGTAGGGAAAAGCATTCAACAACCTGATTTTTATTGCATATTCAAGTAGACCATGTTCAATATTAGAGCCTTTTTGGCTTGGTTCTTGCGCAAAGAAAAGTTCGGCGCTTACGATTTCGGCCGATTTTGCCGCCAAGTGCCTAGAAAGCGCGTGAATCCCTATAGACAGACATAGGGAAAAGCATTCAGCAACCTGACTGTCAATGCATATTCAAGTGGCCCATGTTCAAATACACATAGTAGAGCCTTTTTGGCCAGCATCTTGCGCAAAGAAAAGTTCGGCGCTTACGATTTCGGCCGTTTTTGCCGCCAAGTGCTTAGAAATCGAATGAATCCCTATAGGCATAAAAAAACATTCAAAAACCTGAATATTAAAGCATAGTCGAGTGGCCCATGATCAAATACACCTCCTAGAGCCTTTTCAGCCGAGTTCATGCGCAAAGAAAAGTTCGGCGCCTACGATTTCAGCTGTTTTAACGCCAAATGCTTAGAAAGCTTATGAATCCCTATAGGCATAAAAAAAGCACTCAACAACCGGAATGTTAATGCATATTCGAATAGCCCATGTTCAAATCCACCTACTAGAGCCTTTTCAGCCAGGTTCTTGCGCAAAGAAAAGTTCGGCGCCTATGAGTTTGGCTATTTTTGCCGCCAAATGCTTAGAAAGCGCATGAATCCCTATAGGCGTAGGGAAAAGCATTCAACAACCTGAATGTTAATGCATATTCGAGTGGCCCATGTTCAATTACACATACTAGAGCCTTTTTGGCTTGATTTCTATGTGAAGAAAAGTTCGGCGCTTACCATTTCGGCCGATTTTGCCGCCAAGTGCTTGAAAAGCGCGTGAATCTCTACAGGCATAGGGAAAAGCATTCAACAACCTGAATTTTATTGCATATTCAAGTGGCCCATGTTTAAATAGACATACTACAGCCTTTTTGGCTTGGTTCTTGCGAGAAGAAAAGTTCGGCGCTTACGATTTCGGCCGATTTTGCCGCCAAGTGCCAAGATAGCGTGTGAATCCCTATAGGCGTAGGGAAAAGCATTCAACAACCTGATTTTTTATAGCATATTCAAGTAGACCATGTTCAATATTAGAGCCTTTTTGGCTTGGTTCTTGCGCAAAGAAAAGTTCGGCGCTTACGATTTCGGCCGATTTTGCCGCCAAGTGCCTAGAAAGCGCATGAATCCCTATAGGCATAGGGAAAAGCATTCAGCAACCTGAATTTTATTGCATATTCAAGTGGCCCATGTTCAAATACATATATAAGAGCCTCTTTGGTTTGGTTCTTGCGCGAAGAAAAGTTCGGCGCTTACGATTTCGGCCGATTTTGCTGCGAAGTGCCTAGAAAGCGCGTGAATGCAAGTATTCATAACCTGAATTATATTGCATATTCAAGTGGACCATGTTCAAATACACATTTTAGAGCCTTTTTGCTTGGTTCTTGCGCAAAGAAAAGTTCGGCGCTTACGATTTTGGCCGATTTTGCCGCCAAGTGCCTAGAAAGCGCGTGAATCCCTATAGGCATAGGGATAAGCATTCAACAACCTGAATTTTATTGCATATTGGAGTGGCCATGGTCAAATACACAGATTAAAGCCTTTTTGGCTTGGTTCTTGCACGAAGAAAAGTTCGGCGCTTACGATTTCGGCCGATTTTGCCGCCAAGTGCCTAGAAAGCGAGTGAATCGCTATAGGCATACGGATAGGCATTCAAAAACCTGAATTTTATTGCATATTCGAGTGGCACATGTTCAAATACACATACTAGAGCCCTTTTGGCTTGGTTCTTGTGTGAAGAAAAGTTCGGCGCTTACGATTTTGGCCGATGTTGTCGCCAAGTGCCTAGAAACCGCGTAAATCCCTATAGGCATAGGGAAAAGCATTCAACAACCTGAATTTTGTTGCATATTCGAGTGGCCCATGTTCAAATACACATACCAGAGCCTTTTTGGCTTGGTTCTTGTGCGAAGAAAAGTTCGGCGCTTACGATTTCGGCCGATTTTGCCGCCAAGTGCCTAGAAAGCGCGTGAATCCCTAAAGGCTTAGGGAAAAGCATTCAACAACCTGAATTTTGTTGCATATTCAAGTGGCCCATGTTCAAATACACATACCAGAGCCTTTTTGACCTGGTTCTTGTGTGAAGAAAAGTTCGGCGCTTACGATTTCGGCCGATTTTGCCGCCAAGTGCCTAGAAAGCGCGTGAATCCCTATAGGCATAGGGAAAAGCATTCAACAACCTGAATTTCATTTCATATTTGAGTGGCCCATGTGCAAATACACATAACAGAGCCTTTTCGGCTTGGTTTTGGCGCGAAAAAAAGTTCGGCGCTTACGATTTCGGCCGTTTTTTCAGCCAAGTGCCCAGAAAGCGTGTGAATCTCTAGGCGTATGGAAAAGCATTCAATAACCTGAATTTTATTGCATATTCGAGTGGCCCCTATTTGAATACACATACCAGAGCATTTTCGGCTTCGTTCTTGCGCCAAGAAATGTTGGGTCCTACAATTTCGGTCGTTTTTGCCGCTAAGTGCGTAGAAAGCGCGTGAATCCCTATAGGCGTAGGGAAAAGCATTCGACATCCGGAATATTATTGTATATTTGAGTGGCCCAGGTTCAAATACGCATACTAAGTTCATCCAAGGAAGTCTAAGTTAATCTAGGGGTATAAGTTTATCCGGGGGGGTCTAAGTTAATCCGAGGGGGTCTAAGTTAATCCAGGGGGGTGAAAGTTAATTCAGGGGGGTCAAAGTTAAGCTAGGGGGGTCTAAGATAATCCAGGGGGTCTAAGTTAATCCAGGGGGGTCTAAGTTAATCCAGGGGGGTCTAACTTAATCCAGGGGGGTCTAATTTACTCCAGGAGGGCCTAAGTTAATCCGGGGGGTCTAAGTTAATCCGGGGGGATCTAAGTTAATATGGGGGGGGTAAAGTTGAGCTGGGGGGGTCTAAGTTAACCCGGGAGGGTCGAAAATAATCCAGGGGGGTCGAAAATAATCCGGGGGGTTCTAAGTTAATCCTAGGGGTTCTAAGATAATCCGGGGGGTCTAAGTTAGA